CGGCTTCATGTCGTGGCGGAGGAATGCCAGCATGCCCGGCTTCATGTCGCGGTGGAGGGATATCGATGTGCTCAGTACCTTGTTGCGGCACACCCATGTGGTTGTTTTCAACGGGGTCGGCACCACGTCGCGGCGTACCGACGTGACGGGGGATGCTGTCGGGGGCTGCTTGCGGTTCACCATCGTACGCGCAGACGAAACCCGATTCGCGTTTCACGCACTGCGTGTCCGCAGGCAGGACGCACTTACCAGCGAACGCGCCGGATGCTTGGAACCCGGGAGCATCCTCCGTGCAATGGGAATGGGCATGAACTCCCGACTTGGGGCACGCGCCAAAGGTTGTGCTCGTGCACGCGTGCGACGTCGGAAAGCAGTACCGGGCGTCACCTTCGACATTCACACACGGATTCAGATACAAGGGAGGGAACGCATTGTCGTTGGCGCTCGCCATCGCAACTGCGGCGGATGTCAATACAACTCGCATCATGTTGTGTGCGTCGCTGGTTGGAGAATGGCGCCGACTCGAGCATGAGGAGTTGGATTTTGCCCATGCGGCCAATGAAGAGTCCATGCAGCGTCAGGTTGATGGAGCCACCATACAAATTCCAAGTCAAAGAACTGGATATGGAGTAGACATGCGAAGGAGCAACGCCACGACACGACGAGCACGCCAGGGATGTGTGCAATAGTCCAGCGAATCCATTGGACCATGGGATTAGGCTGCTGCGCAGTCGAACGGCGGGATGTTCTCGGTCCCGCGCTCCCGCCACTGTGTGTGCGGGTACGTACCATGCATGCCATCGGCGACGTAGAATCGAAACCCATTCTGGGCTGTGCACGCCACGACGAGTTCGTCAAGGCCATTGAACTCGGCACGACTTTGGACCATATAACAACACAACACGCCACAGGACACCTGGCACATCGACGACAAAGGCATGTCAACCGTCCCATGGAATGTTCCAGTCTGAGTGGATCGAACCTGCTATTTTGTCGTTGCACTCTCCGCTTGGTTACGTTGTCAACTGCGCCTCTGGCGCATACCTCGTTGCCAGCGTCAAGGGACTTCGCCGACAAGACAGCATCCACGACGTGTATTTCGTGCGAGTCCGCGTCGCCTGGCACACGTCTGTGGTCGGCAATGGTGTGATGCAGCGGGCTCAAACGAAACCAACGCGCCGATGTGTGTCGCCTCCAGGAAAGACGGGCCGCCGCGCTGCCGCGGAAACCCCCTCTCCCGAAAAGATCGAACCCGCCTCGTTTTGCTCATATTAGCCCGTCCCTTTTTGACAACAATTCGTCCAAATTGAACATCGATTGGGACATGGACACAAGCGTCTGCTTGATGAAGTCGTCGGCGCTTTACGCCAATGCGCACAAGATGGTGTTTGTCCGACACATCCACACAGCACCACACGACGGCAGGTCTCGTTCGGATCGAGCTTTGTCGATTTCGTTGTGGACCGTGTAGATGGATGCACGCGCGACATTCTTCGAAATTGTCGCCAATTATCATATTCACACCGAATAGATTTTTCATGCACCGTTCTTTTTGTGTGTGTGCGCACTGTACAACGGACTGGGAATACAAGTCGCATCGACGAAGCGGCGGCAACTCGTCCAGCAGCGACATGGACGACGACGGTGGTGGATTTTGGCAGATGGACGACTCATCGAATTAGAAAAACCTCGCTCTGTTGCAAAATATTTTCCGTACAAAATTTTTCGGAAGCACCAAAAGTTTTGTCGTGAGTTGTCATCCACACCACAAAAAAATTTTACACAGGGAGAAAGGGATGTATATAAATATCCCAGTGTAATTTTTTTTACATTGACTGGGAATGAATGCACGAACGTCGTCACTTCTCGAGGGCAGTCCGTCGTAATTGAATTATAGCCAATAGATTTCGTTAAAAGCTCAATAGAATTCTTCCATTGGTGAAAATTGGATTGACTGAACTGCAAAGATCGACAGACCAATCGACCCGTATAATTGCATTCCCATGGGTGATAAAGTGCCAAGAAATATTTTGACCAGACCTGATGACCGATGCGACAACATAGCGAGCGGCATGAGACCGCATGGGGTGCGGGTGCTTGGGCACGCCACATTACTTCGAGTCACGAACGATGTACGTTCGGGTGCCTCCTTGGGTTGCTAATGGAATCGCCCGCATCTATTCAGGGCAGCCCTGTTTCATACGCCGTGGGAATGGCATCGCATCTCCGAGCACTCTAGGCATCGCCCAGTAAGTATGCACCATCCAGAATTCGCCGCATACAAATCCATCTTTAACTTAGACGCGGTGGAAACTCATGGTGCTGCGGCGACGATTCTCCTGCTTGGGGAAGAGGACGTCGTCGAACTTGGACTTGATGAACTGCGCCGTGATCACGGGGAGTGGGAGGTTGCGCGGGCAAATCACGAGTGCAATCTTGGTCAGGTTCTCCAAAAACTCGGGGTAGATCATGTCGGCGTCCATCGCAAACGGATCGAGCGGCTCGTCTTCCGCTGGAGGCTCTGGCGTTGGCGATAGCTCTGCAACTTCGCCATGGCATTCCTTCATTTCGACCTCCGACGCCTTGCGGATGGCCTACACGGGGTGTACGCATCACTCCCGATCGACGTGCGGCTGTAGCTAACCTTGAGTGCGTCGCGAATGCTAATTTCCTTCATCACGCCAAAATCTTGCAAGATCTTGATAAAGCTTCGCACGCTCAGCGCCATGTCGTTCTCGGGCATCATGCTGGATGCGACCGGGACGTCCTTGGCGACATACTTCACGTAAACCTTCTCCAGGCTCTCGTGGTACTTGTTGAACACGGTTTGCATCTCTGTGCTGTGAACTTGGATCTCAAGCGCTTCGATCGGCTCCTACGACCCACCCACCCATGACAATCGTGGCGGATCCCTTTGGAACGAAGCGATGTACCATCGGCGTCGCCGCGTGATCATGCACATACTCGTCGTACAGCTTGGTGAAGGCATCCGCGACAGACATGTGGACCTGCGCCATCGGTTCAACTGAACGTCCTCCATTCGTTCGGCAAGGCCATCTCTCGAACCTCTCCATGCTCGAGCGCGTTGTCCCACGCAATGCGCACGAGAATCTCGCAAAACTCGCGGAAGAGCACCACGCGATCGGGGTCATGGACGTCGGTCCACTTTTCGCGCGGAGTCACAATCGCGTCGAGCGCCCGCGAGTTTGTCCGCGTCTAGAATGGGCGACGGTCGTGACCAAACTGCGCATGGCATCGTGCGACGTCCAGTTGTCGGTGTTTTCAAACCCCGCACTCGAACGAGTCGATGCGACAACGACGACGCACCTTTCGTTCCCGCTGGATTCGAAGACGCTTGACTGCCTTGTTCTGCGCGTTCCGCACGACGAGGAGCTTTCGGTTGAGCTTGCCCATGCTCGCATTGAGCCGGCATTCCACAGCGAACCGCCACAGCTCGCGCATCTCCATGAGCACGTTGTTCTCCGAGCTCGCATACGGCGTCGTGGTGCCAGCGCACGACGCGTAGTGCCGGTACACGTTGCGCAAATCCGTGTTCACGCGAAGCACCTACCATGGCCCACGAGAAATCCAACCACAACGTCGTCAAGACGCGTACGGCGTTTTGAGCCGCTTTGAGACCCTTGGCGCGCTCCCGCTCGTCGCCGCGCAACAGATCGTCCACGTACAGCAAGATCGTCGGAATCGCTTCGGCCGACGACTGTTTCCGGTTGTCGTTCAGGTCGACCATGCGATCGTGGACGAACTCGCCTGCCCGCCGTTCATTTTGAATCAAATGTACAAACGGATCGCGAATCAGAACCGCACCTTCGTAGATCGTGCCGTCTTCAAAAAAGAAGAGGCCGAGGCCGTTCTTGACATTGGCGTCCCAGTGGCCTTCGTACCGCGCGCCGTTCGCATAGTGAAAGATCCCGTAGCCGTCGCGAACGCCGTCGGCAAACTCGCCTTCGTACCGGTTGCCCCGCTTCTCGGACGCCTTCCACACATGGACGCCGTAGCCGTGCTGCTTGTCGTCCATCCATTCCCCTTGGTACTGTTCCATTTTGTCAAACCAGTGCATGGTGCCTTGTCCGCACTTCACGCCGTTTTCCCAACGGCCTATCCCGTCCATTCAAATACGGCGCGGCCACGATGCATCCCTACCTTCGTACACGTTGCCGCTCCCATACTTCATCGTTCCGTGGCCATCCCGCACACCGGCCTTCCACTCGCCGTCGTACTCGATTCCGTTGAACTCGTCGTACACCATGCGCCCGACGCCGTGTTGTTTGCCATCCATCCATTCGCCTTCGTACGTCGTAATCTTGTTGCTGCTCTGAAAGAACCCGTGGCCGTGGCGCTTTCCCCCTTTGACCGCGCCTTCGTACCAGCTCTCGTCTGGCCACAAGTACCTCCCTTGGCCAGAGATTTCGTTGTATTCGAAATCGCCTTCGTACATGACGCCGTCGGGCCACTCCAACCGCCCGCGTCCGTGCATTCGCCCGTCGCAAAACTCACCCTCGTACACTTGCCCGTTCACAAACGTGGCGTGGCCATGGCCATGGAAGCAATGGTTTGCGTTGCGATCGCCGTCGTACTCGACGATGATGAGCGCGGCAAGCGCTGGGTCGAGTGGAAATTGGGGCGCCGCCATCACGAAACGCTGTCGCCAGATGCCCTGCTATCGCGGCGGCTGCTGGTGACAACCGACCGTTTCACGAACGAGTGAAACCGACAGCCACGAACGGTTTCACCAACCCACTTCCAGGCCACTTACTGCGCACGACAGACAGCGCTGGTGCCGCGGCAAAGAAATCTGGTCCCGCAGACAGCATGCAGTGCTGTGTGCGCAGCAACTCGCCGTCCGAATGCACGATGTTCAGAGGGGAAGGCGTCACGTCCACGAGTTTGGCTAATCCCCTCCCGACATTGCGAGGTCTTGGACGTACCTGGTCCAAGCATGATGCAGGGCATGCCATGAAACGACCACAAGCAGCACTGGCGGCAGCGCGTCGCCATCTCGGAAGATTCAAACATGCTCGGAATCACGTGACGAGATGGATTATTTCTTTTTCGCATGGACCGACGCTGCTGTTTTCTTGGCCTGTTTTCTGTTTTTAAGGGCCTGCTTGTGCTTCCGGCGAAAATCCACCGTGTACGTTTTGCGCATGGCGACCCATGCGGCCTCATGGTCTGCTGTCCACACTTCTGGCTTGAAGAAGGTCGCGCCGAACGACAGAAGCTCGGCGACGGGCCGTTTGCGCTCGACATTGGTCGACGCCACCTCGGCAGCATCGTCGACGTCATTGTCCCCATCGGTGCTGCCGTCGTCTTTGTCGTCGGCTTTGTGTATCGCGTCCATAAAGTGCCATGTGCGATGGCTGTCGTCGGCGTCCTCCGACGGCGCCGGGGCCGCCGACCAGTCCTGTACCTCGTTTTCAACCGGAGCGTCAAACATGCTGGCAAAACTAAACACGGATGGTGCCGTGGCCGCCGAATCCAAGTGCTTGCCGCCAAGCCCATCCAGCGCAGCTTCCATTTCTTCGCCGTCTTCCGAATTGGCGCGCACGCGCGAAAACATCGTCGAGAGCGCCGACGTCGCGGCGAAATACCTCTCGGTCGATGCAGGCGGTAGAGGGGTGTCGACTCGGTTGGGGACTCCGTCGGCGTCGCTGTCGTCGCTGCTGTCTGGTTGAAGAGATGTTGTTGTCCTGTCAGTCACGGATTCCGTCGGTGCCGCTTCCATCGTTTTCGCATTGGCAGTGTCTCGTGGATCGTATCGACGCATGGATGCCAACCAACTACACCGCATCATCACACACCGTGAGAGATGTCGCAAGCTGTTCTCCACCACCCATCTCACGACCACTGCAGCGCCACACGTGGCCATCCATCCCAACCAGAGGATGCTCCCCGTGAGCGTCGAAAACGTGTCCATCGAATCATGGCCACACATCGCGACTTCACACCGGTCGCAACCACACAAACAGTTCAAAGGTCGTCAAAGCCACCCAAAGTCGGCGAAACAAAGCCATGGGGACGGCACGCCGCCACATCATCGGTCGCATGCAGTCGATCGCAAAACGCCACCGAGTGTCCAGACGTACCCGAGCTGCTTTTGATCCGGTGCTTGGTTCATGGTCCACTTGCCCTTGTCGATCTTCATGTCTGGAAAAAGGTCTTGGAGCATCTCCAGCGCCCGAATCTGCTCGGCCTTTTCTTCTTCTTGCCGAGCCGCAACGTCGGCGGCGTCGACGACGCGCCAGGCTTGAATCGAATCGTCTACGACGGCTTTTGTTGTGGTGTCCGATGGCACGCCGTCGTCGCCGTCAAACTCGTCCATGAACCGCGCATCCAGGCGAAATCGATCGTCGCCTACGCTTCGTTCGTCACAACCCCGTGCGCTCGACATGGTCGAGAATACCTCCAAAGCGCTTTTGCAAATCGAACAGCTTTTTGCCGTCGGGGCCGGCAAACTCGGGTCGAAATGCCACGATGGCGGCGCTGTTGGGCCTTCCAAACACGTCATCGTCGTCGTCTGAATCGTCAAACAGAGCCTTCTTCTTCTTGGACGATGCCATGCTATCGCCAAAACCGACCGGCACGACTTGTGCCTCCGCCTCCCCATCGCTGTCAAACGTAATCTTCGACTTGGTCACGGTGCTAGACACAACCACAGCGTTTGGTGGACCGCTCGCGTTTCGCGCCGCCTCTTTCTCTGCCAACGCGGCCAGACGGCGCCTGTTGGCTTGGGCATGGCGCTCTTCGTCCGTTCTGGCATTTGAAATGGCAAAGTCAGGTCCACTCGTATCGGTGGTGGGCTGGATCCGAGGGGGCCGTACAGGAGGGGGGCGCCTTTGGCACGAGCGGGTGCCGGCGCATCGTCGCTCGAACTGGAGCTCGTCGGGCTGGCTGTGTCGTCGCGCCTGCACCGACATGAAGTACAACGAATGGTCCGCATCCAGTTCAAGCAGGTCGTACACGGTGGAAGCACCGAGTTGGTGGCTCGCAGGTGACTCTGGCTTTGGCACGCTAGCGCAGACAAACGTCGTGATGACCATCCAAGGCCTTTGATCAATACCTTGAGCGGTCGACGTCGCTGCCGCCACACATACTGTCTTGGTCACTGCTCCCAGACACAGGAATACGCGCATCTCCATCCAGTCTACTCATCCACCCGCCGCGACGACACGCATGAGATTGGCAATTCGTCTTGCAAACTAAACGTACGCGGTTGAGCCCGCCGTGGCGTCGAGTTCCGCTTCGTCGTCGCTGCTTTCGGAGCTCAAGTCGTCCAGCACTTGCTGCGTTCTAGGTAGAGTCAGAGTTCAGTCGCTAGGTTTCCTCGAAGGTAGCCAACTCGGCAGGCAGTGCGGCCGCCATGGACGGTTCGCCGTCATCATCCCGTTCGTGCTCGTCGCTGCTTTCCGAGCTCAGCTCTGCTGCCCATGTCGATCGCACGGCGACACGTCTACATTTGAAATCGACATATGCATAAGTTGTACATCCAAGGAATGTCATGAAGCAAGGCACGCACGACGGTGGAGCGAGGCCCGACGTGACGGAACTACGTGAAAAGGATGAAGCACGTGCCGATCGATGGTTTGCGGTACCTGTCGTCCGCGTCGCCCTCCGACTCTGAATCAACCGAACGTTGGCAATGTGCAGGGGAAGTTGTTGCCTTGGTAGGTTTCGATGCCTTCTTCGCCTCGACGACGACAGTCGCGTTTCCGTCGTTATCGAAGGCGACCTTGGAACCCTTGAACCTGCAGCGATCGTTCGTTCGTTGGCTTTCACGACATCTTTGTCAATCGACCGTACCGCTTGGATGGTTTGAGGTTCAATTGTGTATCCCGTGGCATGGCGGCTTCGCGTGCTCGTGCAGCGGCCGCCTCTTTGGCGGTAGCAGCAGCTTCCCATTCAATCGCGAGTCGTTGCAAGTAGTCAGGGTGCGCGGCTTCAACTCGAAGGCGTTTTCCTTTCCATTTCGTGTTATGGTACGCCTGAACAACGGCTTGAACCGCCGCGGCCTCGTCGGCGGCATTCTGCGTCTTGGATTGAAGCTCCAAGTACGCGAAATCCGACGCGTTCGAGTTGCTCATGCGGTCGACCGTGATCACGCTCACGTTTGGCGGAAGCACACGTTGGAAGCGGTCCTGCAGGTCCGTCTTGGTCGCGTCCGCCGGCAACCGGCCCACGTATACCCGCACTCCCGGCATGTTGCTGTCGAGATTGATTGGACAGGTCCATTATTCAATTAAGTACTACACGTCGCCACGACCCTTCGTTAAAGTACGCAATTGCCACTTTTATCGACGTCATGGCGCCGCCGGTCGTTCCAACGCGGCCAGCATCGAGCGGCAGTGCTCTAGCTCACCATGGCAACGGCGCACGTGTTGAACAGAGCAATTCCATCATGCATTGCACGTATTATAGTTGGCATTTGTTTGGGAAGGAGGTGCCATTGACGTGAACCAGTGGGGGGGGCACATGGATGTCTTGGATCACGATTTGACCAGGTCGTTAGGCGTCAGCAATCTTCTCCAAGAACGCCTTGAGCTCAAACGTGACTGTCCAGTGGGGGATGTTTGCCCCGAGTTTGCGCAGCCGTTCAATGAGTCGAATGTACTTTTTGACCGGCCCTGCTTCGCCTCCCACACCCTTGCCCCGGCGAATGCATTCCTTGGACGCGATGAAGTGGAAAGTTTGGATCGGGGGGTGCTTGTTCCACGCTATGCCGACGTACGCTTCGTCCCATACGATCCCGCACACTTCGGACGAATGGGCCATCGTGTACTGCGTGCCCCCAATCGGGGCCTTTGCGTGCGTGCCAGGGCGAAGCGGCGCATACTTCATGATGTGGCACATCAGCTGCGTCACGGTTCCAAAGCCGCTGAATCCACCTGTATCGCCGACGTGCATTCCTGTCATTTCACAACAGATATGAAAGGCAAGGTCAACTTCATACCATGCGGCTGATCGGGGGCGTCGTGGGGGGCATGGAATGCGTAGTCCGCTTCGGGAAAGTGCTTGGCAATTTGGTGCCACGTGGCGTCTGGGTAGTCGTAGCTGAGGGGAACGTTGAGTTGGTACATTGGGACGCCCCACGTGCCGTACAGCCGATCTTTTTCAATACTGGCTTGGCAGTCAAAGAGGAACAAGTTCCATTCGCTGGTCACGATCGGGTGGTCGCACGGGACGAGCTCGCGGATGCGCAGGGCCGTGATGGCAATTTGTCGCTGCGAGTGGTCGTTGCGGTGGTCTCGAATATGATGCTCCATTTGATTGCACAGCGCCGCAGTTTGAGGGTACTTTTGAGGAATCTTCCGCAGCGTGGCGATGCGCCAGTCCTCGTTGTAGTCGTACTTGCGGTCGATGAACGAGATGCTTTCGGACAAGCCGGACACACGCAGCGCAATGTCCTTGGCAAATTCCGTGAGATGGTCCAAGTCTTGCGCGTCCATGTCCCATACAAATCGAATCGGACCGAACATGCGCTCTTGAAAACACCACGCGCGCTTGAGGTAGTCGCGCGGCGGCATTGTCGGGTGCAGCCCCGCCCCCAGCACAATCGACGTCGCGTTTGCGTATATTTGGCCCATGATGTTGACCTGGGCGACCTTGTCTGCGTCGCTGGACTGATCGATGCAGACATAATCCAGCCAGACGTAGCCCAGTTTCGCCACGTATTGCTCCAAGTTGACGACTTCGTCGGGAAACAATTCGCACGTGTACGGCGGCTCGTCGTCACACTGGACTGTGTACACGTCGCACTGAGCGCGGTTTTGCCACCGGTGCGAAATGGCAAAATGGGAACTGTTCATGGTCACGCGCGTGCACTGGATCACACGGTCGGAAGACGAGATCGACCGAATTACGCGGGCTTGTGCGTCGGTGCCTGTCGTCACGGACGAGGCGGGGATGTCCGTGTGGTACTCGATGCTTGGTGGCGCAACATGGCCTTGCTCGATACTGCCGCCTCCCCCCATACCTCGAACGAATGACTCCAAGTGACGGGAGGTTTCGGACCGGTTACAGCCGTTTCATCGGTTTCACTGCCCCAATCGTGGAACTGCCAACGTGACACGGGAACCAGGCCGGTCGACGTGATCACGTGTTGAGCTGGCAAATGGACCCCCTTGAGGAGAATGCCTAGTGTGGTAGTGCTGTAGGGGCCGCTATATCCGCACCCATATTGGCAGCGCGCAGACCGTGCGATTTCCCCATCGATTGCGCAATGCTCGACTGTTGAAACACGCAACTGAACTGTCACCAACTCGTCCAAGATTCAATGCTCCACTCATTCGTCTGGCTCCAGCTGAAACGAGCTCTACAATGCCGTGCCCCTGCTGTGTCCATGAGCCCGCTTCGAGCCAAGTGTCGCTCAGGGTGACGAACGTCTGCCGACCGTCGATGGTCCTTGACCGTATATAGTGTGCTGCTGTAAGCATAATATAGTGTGCAAAGGATTTCAGTGTTAGTTACATACTTTATAGAAGGGATCTGCGCTTAAGTACTTTGTAGAAGGGATACGCACCCTTCGAGAAAGTACGAATGCCACGTTTTTGGCCAAGGAGCACGTTGAAGATATGGCGGACAACGTGGGGGTGATGCAGAGGGCCATCGCGATCGTCCTTGCGACGTTCGTGGTCGTGACTGCGGCTGCGGCAGGAAGAAAGCGAGGAGCGAAGAACGCCGCCAAGGATGACTGCCCCTCGTTCCCTGTCACCACCCGCACAGCCCAAGATTCTAGACGTCAACGCCTACGGGCCACGTCGGAGGTAGCCGTTGCATCCCCACCATGCAATGTCCTCGCGCAGGGTTGCTCACCACATGCGCAGAAGACTTCGACGACAAAAATGCACGAGCTCGGAATCTCCATGGCGCGACTCTCGGCGCTCCCTCGTCGCGTTTCGTCGGCAACGACCAGTCCGACGTCAGAGGTACATTGGTCGACTCCACACGGAATCATACATCGTGCGCAGGAGTACGACAAGAAGACGGACTTATTCCACGAGGGTCGCAATCAAGGCGGGAAGCTCGTTGTGATCATGGTCGGGTTGCCTGGTCGTGGCAAGTCGTACATGGCACGGAAGGTGTTGTTCTTCGTGTCGTCGGCGTCTGCATTATTCCCTGACGGGTGCTCTTCTCGCAGGTCGCTCGATACCTCAACTGGATCAACTACGCTACGCGAGTGTTCAACATTGGGAACTACCGGCGCAAGCTGCTGGGGGCGGACCACAGCGCCAACTTTTTCGACCCAGACAACCCGGCTGGGAAGAAGCAGAGAATGGAGATGGCCGAGGCCGCGATGGATGTATGACGTTCGTTACAAATTCATCGGATCGAGAGACCGGGGGCTGGCGTGACTAGGATATGCTCAAGTACCTGAACAACGAAGGCGAAGTTGCCATCTACGACGGAACAAACTCGACGCTGGAGCGCCGGCTGTGGATTCAAGTACGATCGAGTACTCTAGGCCACGTGGCGTGTGCAGCAGCCTCTTGGGGGACTGTTTTCTGATGATAGATGCGTAGGAGCGAGTTTCGAAGTCGGACGGGTACCACTTGCTCTTTATTGAAAGCATTTGTGAAGATGAGCGCATCATCGAACGCAATATCATGTACGTGATCCTGTGCGGCCAACGTGTTCAGGACAAGGGGTGTCGATCCACTTGGGCATGGCGGCGGCAGTGTCCAGATGTTGGATGCCTGGCACAGGCCATGGAGTTGCGTGGCGGCCATTCCTGACCATCCATTTGTTGGCAGAGACACGAAGCTGCGGTCGCCAGACTATAAAGCAACGTCGCCAGAAGAAGCTGTGGCAGACTTTCGAGCCCGCATCGCAATGTACAGGAAAAACTACGAAGCGCTCGGCGAAGCGGACGAGATTTTCTCGTACGTGAAAGTGATTGATGCGGGAACAAAGGTATGCCGCTCCAGCGGCGCGCACAGTTGGTTGCGGACACCGACCCATCGAGGGCAACCGAATGGATCGCTGACACGGAGTGTCTGTCACATAGCTGATCATGAATCGCATCCACGGGTACCTCCCCATGAAAATCCTGTCCTTTATCTCCAATTTGCACATCGTTCCGCGGCCGATCTACATGACGTGCCATGGGGAAAGCGTCAACTCGGTTGTCCAGCGTCTTGGAGGTACGGCTGCTTGGCGTGCACTGGAGTCGGAGGTGGCGCGCGTTGAGGCCATTCGTCGTCGTATGATTGCCATCCGTTCAACTGTAGGTGACTCGGACTTGACTCCGCGTGGCGTCGCCTTCAGCGAGTACGTGGCCGTCGTTGGTTGAGATCCCTTGTGCGTGTGTTTCATGAGTCGTTGGATTAACGCACATGATGGCGGGCCGGCGGGACCTTGACGTGAACTGTTCTAGAGCGCTGGGCAATTTTGTGGCCCACAACGTGCCCAAGGACATGTCGCTGTGGTACTCGACGGCAAAATGCGCTCGCCAGACGGCGCAAGCGATCTCGAGCGAGGTGCGCGTGCAGTGGCGGGCGCTGCGAGGCCTCGAAGCTGGCCTGTACAACTCGCTGACCAAGTCCGAGTTTCAGCTGAACCATCCAACGTAATGCTGCCCTTGTCACCCATGCCATTCCCATGACGGTCGCGTGCTAGGGAATACCAACTGCGCATGGAAAATTGCCTCTGGTACCGATTCAACGTGTGTCGTTTCCGCTGGACGACGGTGTGGTAGGTATCGATACCCGCTTGGCGAGAGCTACATGGACGTGCTGTCGCGCCTGGAGCCCGTGATTTTTGAGCTCGAGAGGTGCCGCACCCCCGTTGTGATTGTGGCCCACGTCGAAGTCGTGCGCTGTCTGTACGCCTACTTTCTCGACTTGCCCATCCTCGACATCCCCAAAGTCCATGCCCCTTTCAACGAAGTAATTGAGCTCCACACGACCGCGTACGAGTGTTTGGAGACAAGGCACGTCCTTCTTGCGCCAGAGTAACCCTCTGAAACATGACCGCCATTTGCATCGTCGCAGCGCATGGACTTGTTTTCGCATCCACCGCCCACCCGTCGCTCCAATTTGTCATGCACACAACGACGTTGGCTAGCCACACTCCACCACCGCGACAACGTCGCAGCGTCCAAGAGCGGCTTGACCTGCTCGGTACGGTCCTGTGCATGCCAACACTCATCTCATCCTGTCCATGACGCGCGGCGCTCGGCCTCCATGACCATGTCGGATGCCGTCAGCCGCGTCCTCGTTCACCGACTGTGGTGCATGCAGCATTGCCTGGCACCGCCCCCCCGTCGACATTGTGGTCGAGATTGTCGCCGCGTCCAGCCGTCAAAAGAACGACTGCTACGTTAACTGTCGAACAAAGTCGAGGTCGATCGTGTGGTGCAGCTCATGCACAAACGGGTCGTGCCGGCGGTGGGGCCACGTGGACAGCGCGGTTTGAACAAGTGTGTGCGCCGGGTCCAGGTGCGCCGCTGCGGCCAGCGCTTGGAACGCTTCTTCCATTTTGCCCAAGTGCTGCAACGCGTCAGCAAAGCAAAACCACGTGCCGGCCTTGGACGCTTGCTTGACGCGCTCGAGGGCGTAGAAGAAGACCGTGTACGCCATCAGGTAGTAGCCATGGACCGTCGCCCGCTTGGCGAGGTCGACCAGCATGTCCGCTTTGGTCAGTTTCGAATGACTCGTGGCTTGGCACGCCGCCAGTGCGGTTTGCATGCCTAACGTCCATCCATGAGTCGTTCGAGCGCGAGAGGAAGCTGTCCGAGATTGCAGACGGGAATGCGATGCCGACCTTGCTTGCATGCGTCGACATTGCGACTGCGACCGTAACCAACGGCGCACAAGATGGTCATGTCGGCGGCCGAGAACGGTGGCGGGGGCGTGTCCAGGAGGCACCCAAAGTACGATACACTGTCGTCGCCCCGATCGAGGTGGAGGAGGACGACACCCACCCACAGCATGGCACTCGGAGCGAGTTCAAACTGGGGGAATACGGCAAGGACGTGTGCGAGGATGTCGAGGCCGGCCTTGTACTCGGCGCGCTCCATGAGGACCACGGCGTAATCGTGGAGGACGTACGGATCGCCGTGGGTCGCTTGGAGAGTCGAGACATACAAGTCATGCGCGCGGGTCAAGTTGAACGCGTCGTGCGATGTATGCCACGTCTGGTGGTGGCAATACGCTAGCGCCACCGTGGCTGCCTCGTCACGAACAAAGCCATTGCGGCACGCTCCTACGACATGGACGTTCGGGTTATGGCCAGCACCACCCATGCGAATCTCGTCACCGCAGGGCACATAGCTATGCACATTTGCACTTACGCTCGACACAAGCCGCAGCTGCCCACCACCGCCCAATGCCGTAGTAGTGGAGACCCAGAGCGCTGAGCAGCGCCGACGTTGTCACGGTCGCTGGGTCTGGAATCGAGATGGCGTGCAGCGCAGCGACGGCTTCGACCTACCAGCGATACAAGCATGACATGGTTTCGCCGCGGAACGGGTTCGGACGGGTCAACTCACCATGGCGACGCGCTTCTTCTCGACAAGAACAACTCGTCGGACGTACCGGCCACGAAGGTGCCGCTGCAGCACCCCGACGGCTTTGCGTTCTCGCCTTTTGGCCAGTTCTAGCCGCGCCAGCGCTTGCCGCCAGGCGCATTGTATGGTCAAAATCGCCCGCGACCGGCGGTTCCTGGAGTATGCCTTTTGGCACAAGCAGCGGCGCCACAACGCCTGGATACGGACGACCGCGTGAACCCTGCGGTTCAAATGCGGCACCGCATGCCGCGACAAGAAACGATCGATGCGCATCCGTGCTCGCTTGCGCCGACGCTCGAGTTGCAGTGCGAGCTAGGACAGCATTGAACGCCCGAGTGGGCAGGACGTGTCGGTCGTACCTTGGCATCGGCTGCGCGCTGTGACTGCAACAGAGCCGACGCGGCGAGATTGGCTCGACGGCTCTTGTCGTGGCGGTGCTTTCGATGTAAATGCCGGCGAATGCACAAGTTGATCAGCGTCGCGGCTGCATCTTGCTCGAAGCGAACGCGGCGGTCGCGTCGCAGCCGCCGATACCATCGTTGGATCTTGGTCCCGCTGGCGGTCGCAATATCGTCGGGTGTGGTCGGGTGCTTTTCCTGCAGGAAGAGTTGCGCGCGCATCGTCCGCTTCCGTCGACAAGTGGCGTCGTGGTCTGCTTGGGCTTGTTTGGCTTGGTCTTGAAGCGCTCTCGCGGCTACGCAGTCCCAAAACCAACTTAGCCACTCCATGGCGCTCGACAGTTGCTGACAGCAAAACACACCGTCGCTAGCGCGGGATTCGACCGTCGGCGGCGTGTCGGTGAGATCGATCGTGTAGCTGTCAACCTGAATGAGCTCGGGCTGAGCAAGTGAAGGTGGCTTCGGCGGCGGGAGGCCGTTGAACGGCTTCTTTGCGGTAGGAATGATATATCGTACGACGGACTTGGGCTTGAGCTGCCCTTGGCTGTAATGGATGTCGTTTTCTGCGTCGAGCAAGGTCAAGTCGTCGGCCTTGTACTTTTCCCGCCACTGGTCGTGGCCCATTTGAGCGCCGCCCACGTCGTCGTCGTTGCGCATGACGCGGCGCGGCAATTTCGCCGCGTACTCTTGCATGTGGACGTGCATGCGGCGCTGCTGCCTGTCGTGGTTGTGTTTGCGGCGCCAGTGGACCCACGCCATCACGATGCGTTGGAATTTGAAGTGGCGAGGCTTTGCCGGAGGGTGCAACGCCAGGTCCGCCACTTTGTCGGCGCAGAACGTCTGCCAATCTAATGGGTCGCATGGATCGTTGGGATGAATGGGGATCGTTTCCCTTGGAGACGTCATCGACGCGTCATCCGTGGCATGCCCCGCCTGATCGAAAAAAGGTCATTTTGGTGGAGATTTTGTAGGAGGCCGTCGTACAGTGTCCTGTTCGGAAGGTTTAAGCCATGCAGGCGACACTTGTTGTAATGGATGTACTGCCGGAACGAGCGAAGGCACCTGGAGGGCATGACGAAGTTGGGTTGTCCACATTTCGAATGTGGGAATGTACCTTTCGAGGCGGGCGCGGCATCGGCAATGCACGCTTCTTCGCAAAGAGCAACGTGGCGTGCTTATCGCTGCACGATACCGACTTGCGGGAAATGATTTTCGAGTCGGTCATGGATGGCAGCGATTGAGGAGGCGGCGTGCAACTCGGACACCACCACGGGTCTGGATTATCCGTGGCAATGCGGGGAGGATCAAAACAGTACGTATGAAGACGGGATAGACAACGTTCCTTGTTCGCACATTGCACGAACAGCGCTGCATTGAGGTCGCTGTGGCAGCGGCAGCAAGGTTGCCGCCGATCACGTCGAGTCATGTCGACGTGGCAGTTTCATTGTTTCGATGAATCGTGGGAACTTTGTACTACACTAGTAGTAGTTGTTTATATGCAAAAATATAGTGAAAAAGCCCACACAATATCACCAATATTGCACCATTTATGTGGCAAATTTTGAGAATTTTGTGAGTTAAATATGGAGATAAATAGCACATCCTCACAATGCGACGGAAGAAGGGTGCAGCCAGGGATGCTTGAGCACGTCGGCGGCGGTAAGGCGGGCGGCAGGGTCCACGACGATCAGTCGCCGGATGAGGTCCTTCGCGTCTTCAGATACTCCTCCCCATGAGGCGTGATCAAAGTCGAATTCGCCCCGGAGAATGGCAAGTCGGACATTCGCATCTGTCAACTCCGACTTCGCATCGAATGGATGGTACCCTCCCAAGACGATGAAGAGCACGACGCCAAGAGCCCACATGTCGATGGCCGTTGTGATGTCGGACGATTGAGTCTGGACTTCAGGCGCTGCATACGCAACGGTCCCGCTGCCGTCCCATGGATGGCGGCCTTCCGATGCGCGGAAGGACAGGCCAAAGTCAATGAGGATCATGCGAGCACTGTCGTTGGCGGATTCCAACAGGATGTTCTCGGGCTTGACATCGCCGTGTACGAGACGCTTTGCGTGCAGGTCAATCAAGGTCTGCGCAAGCTCCCGCGTCATAGTGCGGGCGTGTTGTTCAGTGAATGTGCCCTTCTGCACGAGTCGATCAAAGAGTTCGCCGCCTTGAACATATTCAGTAACGAGGATCCAATCTTCTGGGGTTTCAAACGCGTCCTTGAGCTGGACAACGTGATCGAGTCCTTGAAGCTGCCGTAAAATCGACACCTCATGGACAAACTTGGCTCTCGATGTCAGAGACTTCGACACCCGCTTGATGGCGACGGGGGTGTTGGAGCCTTTCTCCCATCCGGCCTCGACATGCGCAAAGCCTCCACGACCGATGGTCTTTTGTATACCATATCGTGATTCAAGGGACTGCGTCTTAATTAGCATCGAGCAATTGGAAGCCGAGTCTGCTTGGACAACAGGAAGATCTGCCAGGTAGAACGCGGTGACGCCGGCAATGGCGGCGGCAGTCCCACCACTCAAAAGCCCTGCCGATCGATGGCATTGTTGCAGCACGCGGCTGAAGCCCATGGTAATCGTCTGTCGGTGCTGGCGACGTTGTAAAACTGCGCCTCATCTTCCATGTTGGTTGGAGCCACCGCCAGCTTTTTCGCCGTGAGTAATTGCAACAATATGATTGGACAACGGCACAATAATATTTCAAGTTCATAAAACGTGACCTGGAAATATGCAGCTTATGGTAAGCCCAATAGAATTGCCTTGGATTTACACAACATTTTCACACTGTATTAACAAAAGCATACAGTTTGACATCTCTATTTACGAATACAGCAATCTTGACATGGATGTGCCACGATGTGGTTTGTCCCATGTTGTTTCGACCAATCATATCGTTTCTGTACCATCGATTGGTCAATTTCCAGTGCGTTGGACGTGACGCTGACATGTCACCTACTGGTCGGGGTTGGTGCCCTCGCTGGCGCAGCCAACGACGAACCACCTGCCCGACTGGAACCGAGTGCTGGCGCCGCCGTGAAAGCGGTGGGCAAAGGCACCTTCTGGCAGTCACTGGATGGCGAGAAGGGTTGCTTTCAGCTCGACGGTGAAGGCGCCATTCGATTCCCATGTGACTACCATAATATGCGTCACGCTGCTTGGTCCAGACTGTGAGGCTTATTTGCGCCATGTGCAAGGACACCGACGGGCGCGCACCGAAAGACCATGTTGGTTTGGGCGGATGTGGAGGATGTTGAGATGGAGCAGCATGTTTATGGTGGAAGGATATGTCTCTGCAGAACGGTGGAAGTGGCCGTGGAAACGAAGTAAGGTATATCCGGGCTTATTGATACGGAAGATGGGAACGCGCGGTGGCGACCTAGTCGAATTGTATCTTCGTTCCAGAATACAGCGACTTGATGGAAACGTTTTCGTTCGGCGTGAGTTGGATCGCTGCGACGGCACAAGCCGCAGTCTGTGCCTCCCGTTCTTCGCGCAGTCGTTCGTGAAAATCAGGGCGAGCAACTTCCACACGCAAGCGCTTGCCCTTCCACTTGGTGTTGTGATACGTTTGAATGTACTGCGCGACGGCGGCCTCCTCTGTCGCCAGAGTCCTTCCCTCCAGGTTAACATAGGCAAAGTCACGAATACCCCGGCCCTTTTCCCGGGCCATGACCAAGTCCACCGACTCTACCTTGCATCCAGACACTTTTCCGAAGCGCTGCCTTAAATCCTCTTCCGTCACGTCGCCCGGAAGCCCGCCAACGAACAACCGCACCACCATTGGAACTGGTCCTTCTCGCTTTGATTGGCGGAAACATGATCCGGATAAGGTGCGTTGTATCCGGGGACTTACAACTTCAAGGTGCCGACGTGTCCTTGCTAAACGTCTTGGTTACTAATGTATGTACTGATTTCCCCCCGACTTTTAAACGGTCGACTTGAAACAAGTTTCAAAGGAAACAAAAATATACAGGTACAAATTATGACA